TCATTGGCGGGCTTACTGCGGAGATGGATCCACCAGACTCGCTCCACCCTTCAGTGGGGCGCCGTGAAGGACGAGCATGGTTGGCGAAAAAGCCTCCTCTGGATGCCGCGCAAACGACCGCGCCAAGAAGAAATGCCCTGCTCAGAGATGCGTGTCTCGACGGGGCCGATGTACTCGTCCTGCCGTACGGAAATCCACTCGGAAGTCTTCTCGCCCATGCAGGTGATGTTGCCGTAGAATAACGAAGTAGTGGTCGAACTCGTATTGGCGCTGGCCGCCTCGGTGGCGGTGAGCTCTGATGCAGTGGCCGCCGAACCTAGTCAATGCGACGTGGCTCGGGCCTGGGCCCCTCCAGCCTTGCCTCCGCCTTTGGCGGCTTCTGCCTTGGGCGAAATGGAAGCGCCTGCCCCGCCAGCCCCTGTCGCCGCGGCCTGGGCGGCGAACTTGGCGGCGGAGAGCTTGGCCGCCTCGGCCTCGAGCAGCTTCGGGTCAAACTCGGGCTCCTTGCCGGGGGCGGCCGCTCCTTCGCCCGCGCCCGCCCGCGGGGCGCCCCCGTCGGCGGCGCTGGACGGCGTGCCGGCAGCAACAAGGCCTGGCGAGGTCGCCTCGGCAAGCGGGGGAGCAACCGCGCCGCCCTCGCCCTTCCGCTTCTTCTGGTACCTGGCCTCCTGAGCTGCTCTGGCAGCCTGGGCGCGCTGGATGAGGGCCGTGACCTGCGGCCCCTTCATGTCGAACTGCAGCTTGAGCTCCTCGAGGCCTGACTGGACCGCCCCCAGCTCCGCGCGCCCGGCCTCCGTGAACTCGAGCTCGGCGATCTTACCAAAGAGGTCGGCGCTCCAGGAGACGGTGAAGGGCGCGGCGGCGGCGTTCTCCTCCTGCGGAACGGCCTCCTTGGACTGGTTCCCAGCCACTCCCTCGGCGACGGCGAGGGCTTCGGCGGCCTTGCGCATCGCGTGCTCGGCCTTGGCGACCGCGAGCACAGCGTCCTTTTCCCTGGCCTCGGCCGTGTGGAGGGCGGTGCGGAGCCTGACGACGTTGGCCACCAGCTGATTGTGGTGGTTGACCGCGGCGCGGTAGGAACTGTCCGCCTTCCGCAAGGTCTCGATGACGGTGGCCTGGTGCATGCCGTTGTCGGCGTCCTGGGCCTGGGGCTGCTGGACCTGCGCGCTGAGGATGGCCTTCCGGGCAAGATCCGTGGCCACGGCCAGCGCCTGCTGCAAGTGCTTGGCGAATGGGCTCTGCTCGGCAGTTCCTCCGCGAACCTCAGCCTGGACGTCGCTGCGACCATCGTCGCCGTCCATGGGGAAGACCTCAACCGTGCCGAAGCGGACGACGCTGGGCGATCGCGAGCGGCCGCGGTGCAGCTTCATGGGCCGATTGCAGCGCGGGCAGATCGGCTTCTCCTTCTCCAGGCGGTCGTTGTACTCGCAAGCGTGACACCCACGGCAACGGCTCCAAAGGCGAGTCCCCTGACTCGCCGCCCAGCGACCGCTGCTCGCCGCGCGAGCGGACTGGCGTCTCATGGTCATTAGCCCCAGCTTTGGTCAACCGTAAAGCCTGTGGCTGCACAAGGGGCACGGCAGTTCCTCAAGCACCTCGTGAAGGTACTGGGGCAGCCCTGGAGGAATGGGGCCAGGGCCGAAACGGCTTGAGAGGAGGGGGAGGAAGAGGAGGAGGAGGAGGAGGAGGAGAAGGAGGAGGAACAAGAGGTGGAAGAGGGAGGAGGATGAGGAGGTGGGAGGAGGAGGAGGTGGGAGGAGGTGGAGGAGGAGGAGGAGGAGGAGGAAGAGGAGAAGGAGGGAGGAGAAGGAGAAGAGGAGGAGGAAGAGGAGGCGGAGGAGGAGGAAGAGGAGGAGGAGGAGGAGGAGAGGTGGAGGAGGAGGAGGAGGAGTACATGCTTGGGACCCGTGGGGAGGGCGAGCGGAGAGGAGCCGAGGAAGGGAGGACGAGCGGACGGACGGGCGCTCCACACACGCGCGAGGCCGGGCGCGGCCCCGCCAGGAGCCAGAAGCGGTATGGCGCGCCGTGGCGCCGAGCCCTGGAAGCAGAAGCTGGAGAAGGCCAGGAGTGCCGCGGGAGCGCGACGCAGGAAATGGGGGGGGCGTCGGGGTGGGTCGGGGTTGGAGTCCAGCGGCATACTCCTGGTCAGAACGATGAAATCGCAGAGTGCAGCGAGGGGTGCAGCGAGGGGGGGGCATCGGTTTTTGGTCGTGGGTTGGAGTCCAGCCAGCGGTATACTCCTAGCCTCAAAACGATGTAGTCGCAGAGTGCAGCGAGGGGGCTGGGCGAGGGCCCGAGAAGACGAACGAGGCGAGGGCCAAAGAGAGACACCCGAGCGGAGGGTGTGAGGGACGGGGGGAGGGAGGGAGGGAGGGAGAGGGATGGAGAGGGAGACGGAGACGGGGGGTGGGAGGAGGAGTGGAGGGAAGAGGCGGGGAGGCGGAAGAGACCCTAAGGGGGGGGGGGGGGGCAGGGAGAGGAAGGAGGGAGAAGGAGGAAGAGGCGGAAAGACAGAAGAGGAAGGAGGGGGGGGAGGAGGCCAGGATGAGGGGGGGAGTTCAAGGAGGGGCTGAAGAAGAAGGGGAAGAGAACACTGCAGGTGCGATCGCGACACGTGTGACATCCTACTCTCCCGCTCATCCCTTCTCCAATGCGCTGTGCCACTCTTTATACCGAACTGAATCTCGAACCGTACTCTGCTCCCCAGAGGGCATTTGCACTGCTTGACCCGCCACAAAGGTAATTACGACAAATGGCCCACATGGTGGGTTCTGGAAACCCTGAATTTAAAAAATAATGGCATCCCTTGGTGACGCTTCTTTACTTCTGCCGGCTTCTCTTCGGACGTTTGGGAGTCGTCACTTTGTGAGCAGTGAATCGCGCTCAGTGACTTGGGGAACTGTCTTTACGAGGTTTTTGGCTCGACTGGTAAAACGAACACGGGGAGAATCGATGTTGGGGCCTGTTGGGGTAAGACTTCGTCGCAGCTGCGGGGTCCTCTTGGAAAGTATGATCGGCATGAATCCTGGGAAACATATCGGAGATCGGTGTCGCGGCAGCGACCGATGCCGATGCCTCCTGCAGCGATCTCGAGGGCCTCTTGGACCGTCTTGGCCTCAGTGTCGGCGGCGGCCCCAAGGTTGTCGACGTCGTGGCGGAGGACAGGCTGGGCGGCACGTACATCCAGAGCGGCACCAACCACGACCGCCCAAAGTACACAAAAACACCGGACAGGGCTCGGCCAGAATGCGGGGATGCGTTCTTATACTGTATGTTTGCTTGCAGCAGGCTCTACGGCCGCACCTCCGCGACAATTGACGGCGTTGCACGGGGCAGGGGGGAGAGGGGATCCAGCAACGAACGGGGCCCCTGGTCCTGCCATGCGCTATCGAGGGCCCCGTCCCAGGCTCCCCCGCCTCGCGCCCAGGGATGTATATATATATATATATATATATATATATATATATATCCATATCCATATCCATATCCATATCCATATCCATATTCATATCCATATCCCTTTCTCTCTCTCTCTCTCTCTCTCCCTCTTGGTTGCTTCCAGGCGCCCCGCAGCATGTTTCTGAGGGGGCTCTGAAAGCCCTGAGATGGATCTTGCAGGACGTAGACGCGAAACCTCCCACACGCGTACGGGGGCCTGCTTGGACGCCTCCTGGGAGCCTGTTGGAGGCATGGTGCGAGTCCGCCTGGCTTTGGGCCTGTGGAGCCCGGGCAGGGTACCAGCGCGTAGGCCCCCAGGGCCCCGCCGGGGCGCGCGTGCGGGGCGAAAGTGCTCCACTGCTCCACTGCGCCCGCGCACCACAATCCCAGACAGCCCGCGAGGAGCAAGCCCCGACGCGCAAGGACCGTGCACCCGACGCGCAAGGACCATACCCCGAGGCGCGAGGACCACACGGAGCTTTAGAGGACCAAGCGGTCGCATGGTCCTGTAGAGCTTCGTGTGGTCCTTGCGCATTGGGTGTGATCCTTGCGAGTAGTCCCCGAGTTTCTGAGTTCTCGAATCGTGCGCGTCCACGCGGTGTTCCACTTTGGCAATTCTCCGTTCCACCGCATTGTTGTGTTCGTGCAGGGGTCCGCCGTTGTGTGATTTAGCCCGCTCAGATCGTTCTGGATTGCGCGCAAGCTGCCCGTAACGTCGTTGCGGGTGTGGTCCGCGTACGCTCAAATATCAGCCAGGTCATCATCGTGCCCCACTTCCTGGAAACGCGGCTACCAGCTCCTCCCCGTAATGATTGACCTCCATCTTCTGAAGCGCTGGTGGCCAGACGCCTCCATCACCTGCCGTGCCACGACAAGGTGACTCGGGCTCCTGTGCACCAGGAAGGGCAGGGCACAAACTATCAGCTGCGAAGGGGTCATCGAGAAAAGGGACCGTCCACCGCATGCTACTTCCTGCAAGGCGCCACGTCGGAGCTGCGTCTCCCGAGGGCGCGAACTCCGTCACTTGGGGGGGGGCCTTCCTGCCGACCTGCTGCTGGCCGCACCGCGCCCCGCAGCAGCGTCAGTCACTGCGGTGGCATGCCCCATCGCGGCGCAGCGGCCGCCCCCGCGGCCGACGCCGTCCCCGCACGGGCCTCGAGCCCAGGCCGCGCGTGGCCCCAAGGCTGATCAGGTGACCTCGCAGCTGCGTTGCTTCAACCCGTTTGGCCTTGAGCTACATCTGCTACGGACCCCTCCACCCTTCCTCACTCCCGCCCCTCCCCCTCGCCCCTTCCTCATTCTCCTCCCTCCCTGCCTCCCTGCCCTCCCCTCCCCTCCCCTCCCCTCCCCTCCCCTCCCCTTCCTCGTTCCCCACCGCCTCCCTTTCCATCCTTCCCCTTCCTTCCCCCCCCCCCCTCCCCCCCCCCCCCCCCACCCTCCCTCCTTGCGTCCCTCCTCCTCCTCGCGCTGGCTGGCAGCCGCCCTCGCGAGAGCGGCGGCCGCCGCAGCGACCTTCCCCCTCCGCGAGCGAGGCAGCCGAGGGGGCGGGGCAGGGCCCCAGCCTGGCTCTGGATGCGGCCTGGAGGGGCGGGGGGGGACGGACGATCCTCGACTCAGTCCTCCTCCTCCTCCTCCTCCTCCTTCTCCTCCCCTCCTCCTCTCCTCCTCCTTCTGTTTTCCTCCTCCTCCTCTTCTTTTTCCTCCTCGTCCCATCCTCGTCTCCTCCCCTTTCCTCCTCCTGCTTCTCACTCCTCCTCCCTTCCTCCTCCTCCTCCTCGCTACCTCCTCCTTCTGTTTCCTCCTCCTCCTTCTTTTCCTTCTCGTCATCCTCGTCCTCGTCCTCCTCCTTCCTCCTTCCCCGCCTCCTCCTCTCCTCCTTCTTCCTCCTCCATCCCTCTCCCTCCTCCCCACCTCCTCCTCCTCCCTCCTCCTCCTCCTCCGCTCTCTCCTCCTCCTCCTCCTCCTCATCCTCTTCCTCCTCCTCCTCCCTACTCCTTCCTCCTCCTACTCCTGCTCCTCTGCTCCTCCTCTGTCCATCCTGCTCTCCTCTTCCTCAGCTGCCTGCTCCTCCTCCTCTCTCCTCCTCCTCCTCCTCCCTCCTCCTCCTCCTCCTTCCTCCTCCTCTGCCTCCTCATCCTCCTCCTCCTCCTCCTCCTCCTCCTTCTCCGTTTTCTCCTCCTCCTCTTCCTCTTCTTCCTCCTCCTCCTCCTCCTCCTCCTCCTCCTCCTCCTCACGGCTAGTGGCTCCAAGAAGGGCTCCAAGACCCCAGTACAGACCCTTGGGAGGTGTACCGGCTGCAGCAGGACACCAGTCAGCTCATCCAGATGGTTTGTTCTCAGCCCCACCCTGGTGAGCGACACAACGTTCGCCTCGACAGCACGATGGCACAGGCTGGCTCGCGACTTGTCCAGGCGCTGAGCCCCACCTCGGAAGGACGGCCCGCCGACTTTGAACACTTCCCCTCGCCTCCTGCGAGGAGGATTTCGAGACGGCCGTCAAGGCCATCATGAAGAATGTAGGACTCGGGGGCCAGGGCTACGCATAGGCTCACGAATCCAAGCGGAAGCGGAATCCCACGTGGTTATCCAGACTCACCCTGGGGTGCTTTCTGCGAACCTTCGAGACCTGCTTGAGGCGGAGAATCCGGCGCTGGCTAGATTTTGGCACGCAAGCGCCACCCCACCCCCTGTCTTCGTTCCTGCCAGGAGTCATTCTCCGTGCCCGACCGCAGGAGAGATTCGGAGTGCCAGTCCCAATTTTTCGGCGCTGACGTCGCAATCGTTGGACGGCCTTCATCATAGGCAGCACCCGTTAGCTTCGGATGAAGCTTTGAACGCTGTCGGAGCCATCGTCCAGGCTGTTGAGTCTTTGATATTGATTCCTAGACGGCGTTTCTGATGTTGTTTCCTCTCTTGAGGAGAACCTAGTACATTGTCTGTGAGACCCGTTCAAGTCTGGGAACGCCTCAGAAGGCCTTGGCTGACTGAATTTAAGGGGTTGTATCCTAGAAAATTCTGGAACTTTTTGGTCCTGGCCGAAATGCTGAAGATGCCGTGTGGCACCAAGCTGTTCGCTCTGAGGTGTCTGCTCTCTCAGACAAGGTTTCTCTAGGAGCCATGTGGGACGACACTAAATCATACGAAAGTTTTGACCTGGACCGCCTCAGGTATAGGGCTTAAAAGTTTGGGCTCGACCCCGTCATCGTCTAAACTACTTACAAATTGTCGAAAAACCCTCGTACCCTCAGGCTGGGCAGCACGTACACGGCACGATACCGTACTTTGCGGTTTCGGGCTTGCCAGCTGGAGGCGTCTTTAAAGACTTGTTCGTCAAGGTTTGTGCAAAGTTTGCAGAGGTGAGGCTTTCGACAGATACACTATCCAGAAGCCCTTGTTGATGATGAAACTTTGACCACCGAGGCTGAGACCGAGGAAGCTGCCTTCTCCCAGACGGTCCAAGCTTGCTCAAGCATGTCAATGATTTTTCGGGGCGATTTAAACATCATATTCCAGGCCGATGAGTTGACCACGTTCGGGAGCTATTCGGCCCAGGCCCGAAAATGCTGTTCCTTGTTAAGCAACGTGGCTGGCCAAGCTTCTGACAGCACGGTTAGCTTAGGAACTGATGCACCGGCATTGTTCAAAATAACGACCATCAACGCAAGGCACGTTCTGGTCGCTGACACTACGCCCCAGCCGCATGTGGACGACACGTGTCGCCCCCTCAGGTCGAACACATCTAGAACTACGCTCAGCAAAACTGCACCTAGTTGCGGGGACCAGGGGGGGCAATCAAAATTAGATTGCGCCTCGCCGTCCCCGAGCATCGAAAACCTGGTTGCCGGAGCAGCCAGCGGCAGTCCGAGAGGGCAGCCCGCCACGGGAGCGAATCCCTCGAAGCGCGCGCCGCCCCCCGCCCCCCCCTCCCCCGAGAAGCGCGCGCCGCCCCCCCCCTCCCCCCAAGAAGCAAAGCTGACCGGAACGAGCGGCGATGAGGGGCCTGGATTCAGCTTTGCATTCCAGGGGGGGGGGAATGAAGGACGCATGGGCGTCGCCCGAATGATGACGACCATGATGATGATGGTATTAATGATGAGACTGGAGACACGGAGGATGTTGATGACTACCATGATGATCATGGTGATGCTGACTATGACAACGGCGATAAGCATCATCTGAACACCACCACCACCACCACGAATATAGTCCTTATTTTGAACAATACGGGTAGCCCCTCGTCCAAGGGTGCCGTCAGGGCAAGCGTTTTGGAAGCGCAGGGCCAAGCTTTGAAGATATGCATGAGAGGCGTAGAGTCCTCCGTAGGTTGTAGGCAGTGTCTTCCCCGCCAGAGCGGACGCATCGGCAAGATTTACGTTGCGGGTGCTGCCCTCGCTGCCACGTTCGGATTGGTCGTTGTTGGCATGAGCGGCAGCGAGCTTGCGCAGGCCAGACGAATGCTATTATCGTCTGAACCACCGTATCACAAGGGTTGCTCCTCCAGGCTTCAGCTCGTTTTCTCTTGGGACCCTGTTGCCAGAGCCAGCTTTGCCCCTGTCCGTCATTGGGCGCACATCGTTTGGACCGCCCTCACCCATCCCACGATATCTTACCGCAACGTCAAAGCAGCCGTGTTTGTATCGGGTGGGCTGGCATGCGACGTCCGCCCTCACGCGGCAGGACCACTACGGACGTGAGGTACACTTAGGCTTCAACTTCCCCAGCCTGGTGGAGCCCCGTCTCAGTCCCGCCACCTAGCGAAGTTTTGAGCGTAAGATGGCCGAGCACACTGTGAGTGTTTTGAGCAAGCGAATCACCATCGACCCTCTCCTAAAGATTTTGAGATCCAAGACCACAGATTTGACCCCTAGGGAGAAACACATGGCTATTTCTATCTGTTGTGGTGGTTCCCAGATCCGTGCAAGCGCGCGGGCTGCCAGATATCTCGGCGCCGGCAGGCGGCCATTGCGCGGCGAGCCCGACAACAATCAAGCACTGGCTTCTGCCTTTGCGAGCATGCTGACGCCTATGCTGCGCGCGCCGAAGCGATCGGCGACCTGTCGGACTTGCTGCAGGAAGCCACCACTAGTAAAGATCCTTTCTTGTTGGATGAGCTTCAGTACGAGCACCCTGAAGATGTGCACCCTCCCCCTTCGGATGATCCTAACCCCACCCTTTTCAACGCCCAGAAAGACATCGGGTGGTACTCCATTGATCTCAAGGGGTGCGATGTGCGTCTGGGTAGGTCCTGCTTGCGGCATGAGGTGCGTGAACTTAGCCGCGCCTAGTATTCCTGGGCGTTTGTCGGACAGGGAGAGGAGAACCTTGCCTATAGTCAGACCTAGGCCAGAAGAACATCCCCCACTAACATGAAACGCTCCGCCGGCCAAAACACAGAACATCCAAGGGCACCCTCCCCAGGATGCACAAGAACATGCAACAAGCGCCACCAACACTGGGGCACCCTCCCGAACCGACTTCGATCTTACACCTCGGTCCGACTGTACGCTCCAGGAGCTGCGCGGGATGCGTTGCCTCAGACGCCGCAGGCGGCGAAACACCAAGCGATGGCCTGCCTTCCCATATTTGTCGAGTCTTCGGGCATGCGCCTTTCGGGCTGCATGACTGCGGCCAAACTCTGCCAGACGAGTGGATCGCACCCCTCCTGCCCGCAAGCACCGATATGCTGGCACGGGGAGAGGTGCGACACTGCATGATAAGCGTGGGCACGACACTGTTTTGCAGCACACCCCTGCTCACAGGTCTCGAGAGACCATCGAGGCCCTTCACGCGGAGGAGAAGAGGACTGCTATCAGTAACGAGAACGCGGACTCCCTTGCCAAGCACGCCCTGTCCTGGACTGTCCCTCCACCCTTAGTCTTCTCCTCTTGAGCGTGACAGCATTGAAGCTCTGATGATAAAACTTTACCAAATTCGCAGCGAATGTTGCGGCCAAAGGTTTGTGTGTTTCCCTCCCGAGCAGTTCAAGAGGAGCCGCCCTAGGCCCAAGGGCCGTTCCCTGAAGCCTGGGTGCTGGCATCACTGGGAAACTTTGGAGGAAGGTAGAGCGCGTTGTCTTAGATGCCTGGTTCTGTGGAACGATCCCGAGGCCAGGTCCATGATTGGATGTGCTGGGTCAAGTAAAACCTGGCGGGGAGCGCTTGATTTCAGTAAGGGCCCTACTTTGGCCCACACGCGCGTCGCCAAGCACGGCGTCGAATCGACGATGCACTTCTGCACCGCGTGCAGTGCCTCCGCACCGCGCCGCTGCTTTCTGCTTGGCCGGGACTGCCCGCGAGCCCCGACGACCCGCCGTCGCAGATGTGCGGGGCTGCGCCCCCATTGCTGAGAGGGGGGAGCTCGCGTAAGCCAATTCTTCTCGGCGGGGAGGGGCCTGCAACCGGGGCTCGACCGCAAGAAGCCTTCCACAGGAAACCCGGCCCTGAGACCCCAGGACGTCCCTTGCTTCCTGGTGCGGGAGCGTCGTGCTTTTTCCATCGCAAAGCCATCGAAACCCAAGAAACCCAGGGCATCCCAGAAGCAAGAAGGGTGTCTCTTGGCATGGGTCTGAACCGCGCATGCA